TGATGTTGTTGTCATCTCTTCAAGATGAATTTGAGTACCTTGAGACAATGTTACTTCATGGTAAGGATAATGTTACCCTTAAAGATGTAACTGCTGCTTTGTATAGTTATGAGCTCAGGAAGAAACCAAGAAGGAGAGCAAGTACGAAGCAGCGGAGGCCATGATGGCAAGAGGTTGCTCGAAAAGTCAAAAGCCAAAGTGGAGAGGGAGATCAAAGTCGAAGTCCATACTGGGAAAAGATGAATGTGCCTTTTGTCATGAGAAAGGCTATTGGAAGAAAGATTGTCCGAAGCTGAAGAAGAAAGGAAAAACTGCTCCAGATGCATGTTTTGCAGAGCATGATGCAAATGACTCTGACATATCATTGGTTGTTTCATCAACAACATTCCATTCAGATGAATGGATATTATATTCGGGTTGTACTTATCATATGTCCCCTAATAGGGAGTTATTCTCCGATTTAGTAGAACTAAATGCAGGAGTTGTTTATATGGGTAATGACAATGCCTGTAAAACTGTTGTGATAGGTTCAATTCGATTGAAGAATCAAGATGGATCAACCAGAGTTCTGACTTATGTCCGATACGTGCCCATTCGAAGAAAAATCTCATCTCGTTGGGAGCATTGGAATCCAAAGGCTCAATAGTCACTATGAGAGATGGAGTTTTAAAAGTCACATATGGTGCACTTGTGATGATGAAGGACATCAGAAAAAATAATTTGTATTACTACTAAGGTAGTACAATTATTGGAGCAGTTGTAGCAGCTTCCGGAGGTGATGATTTGGACGCAACCCAGTTGTGGCATATGTGGTTGGGACATGCTGGAGAGTAATCCTTGTAAATTTTGGCAAATAAAGGATTGTTGAAAGGTGCAAAGGCTTGCAAATTGAACTTTTGCGAGCATTGTGTTCTGGGAAAGTAGAAGAGAGTGAAGTTTGGCACCACTATACATAATACAAAAGGTATTGTGGATTATATACACTCATATGTATGGGGTCCTTCAAAGACATCGTCTTTGGGAGGAAACCATTATTTTTTAACTTTTGTAGATGACTTTTCCAGAAGAGTTTGGGTGTATCCGATGAAGTGCTTCGAATTTTCCTTAAATGGAAAAATATGATCGAGAACCATACTGGTAGAAAGATCAAACGTCTTAGGACGGACAATGGAGGGGAATATAAAAGTGACCAATTCTTTGACGTCTTCCATGAGTATGGTATTGTTCGACACTTCACTGTTAGAAATACACAACAACAGAATAAGGTGACAGAGCGTATGAATCAAACATTATTGGAGAGAGTTCGATGTATGTTGTCTAATGCTGGGTTAGGCAAGACATTTTGGGCTGAGGCTGTGTCATATGCTGGCCATCTCATAAATCGTCTGCCTTCATCAACGATAGGAGGAAAAACACCATTGGAGGTATGGTCTGGAAAACCTGCTACTGATTATGATTCCTTACATGTATTTGGATCCACTGCTTATTATCATGTGAAGGAATCCAAGCTTGATCCGAGAGCAAAGAAGACTCTCTTTATGGGAATCACCCATAGAGTGAAGGGATTCCGCTTTTGGTGTTTAGACAACAAGAAGATAATTTGTAGCAGAGATGTTACCTTTGATGAATCTGCCCTAGTAAAGAAGGTAACAAATGAAGCTGTCCAGACAAGTAGTACTCCACAGCAAGTGGAGCATACTCCAAAATAGGTGGAGTTTCAGCAGACGATGATCCCAGAAGTTGATGCAGCTAATTCTTCAACTCCAATAAAAGAATCAGAAGATGAAGAGGTTCAAACCCAAGAACCATTAGAGACACTAGAACCACTTGCATTTACAAGGCCAAAGAGAGAAATTCGTAGACCTGCTCGATTTGTTGATATGGTGGCCTATGCTCTTCCAGTTATTGATGATGATATCCCTATCACTTACCAAGAAGCAATACAAAGCTTGGAAAGTGATAAGTGGAAAAGTGCCATGGATGAAGAAATACAATCTCTCCAAAAGAACAACACTTGGAAACTGACACAATTACCGAAAGGTAAAAGAGCAATTGGATGCAAGTGGGTATTTGCAAAGAAAGATGGATCTCATAGCAAGAAAGATGTTCACTACAAGGCACGGTTGGTAGCTAAAGGCTACGCTCAAAAGGAGGGAATCGACTACAATGAAGTATTTTCCCCTGTTGTGAAGCATTCCTCCATTAGAATATTGTTGGCCTTGGTAGCACAGTTGAATTTGGAGCTAGCTCAACTTGTTGTAAATACGGCTTTCTTGCACGGTGATTTAAAAGAGGAGATCTATATGACTCAGCCAGAAGGATACAAAGATGGTGGTTATGAGAAATGGGTTTGTAAGCTGAACAAATCGCTATATGGATTGAAGTAATCTCCGAGGCAATGGTACAAGCGATTTGATAGCTTTAAGAGGAGGAAAAAATACACTAGAAGCAAATATGATCATTGTGTGTATTTATAAAAGCTCAAAGATGGATCTTTCATTTATCTTCTCTTGTACGTTGATGATATATTGATTGCTTCGAAGAGTCAAAAGGAGATAGACAAATTAAAGGCTCAGTTGAATCAAGAGTTTGAGATGAAAGATCTAGGTGAGGCCAAGAATATTCTTGGTATGGAGATAATCAGAGATAGACAGAGAGGGAAGCTTTGTTTAACACAGAAGCAATATCTGAGAAAAGTATTACAATGTTTTGGCATGAATGAAAATACCAAACATGTAAGTATCCCACTGGCTATGTAAGTATCCCACTGGCTTCTCATTTGAAACTTAGTTCTCAATTATCTCCTAAAACTAACGAAGAACGAGAGTATATGGCAAAAGTTTCATATGCTAATGCAGTTGCGAGCTTGATGTATGCAATGGTGTGTACGCATCCTGACATTTCACAAGCAATTGGAGTTGTAAGCAGGTACATGCATGATCCTGGAGAAGGGCATTGGCAAGCGGTGAAATGGATTCTACGGTATCTCTAACAAACCGTGGATGTTGGTTTAGTTTTTAAACAGGATGAAACACTTGGTCAGTGTGTAGTTGGATATGCTGATTGCGATTATGCTGGTGATTTGGATAAGCGTCGATCAAATACTGGGTATTTGTTTACTCTTGCTAAAGCCCCAGTAAGTTGGAAGTCTACATTGCAATCTACGGTGGCCTTGTCTACTACAGAGGCAGAATATATGGCAGTTTCAGAGGCTGTAAAGGAAGCAATTTGGCTTAACGGGTTGATGGAAGACTTGGGAGTTGTTCAAAGTCACATTAGTTTCTATTGTGACAGTCAGAGCGCTATTCACTTAGCGAAAAATCAAGTCTACCAATCAAGGACTAAGCATATCGACGTGAGGTATCATTTTGAGCGGGAGATCTTTGAAGAAGGAAAGATTCTACTTCAGAAAATTGCGACATCAGAAAATCCTGCAAATATGATGACCAAGGTGGTAACAGTAATCAAGTTCAATCATTGTTTGAACTTGATTAACATGGCCTGAAAGTATGAACACCTTCGGGTGGCGCTTATGAGCACAATTAGAGGCACTACAAATTTGGGGAGTTGAAGAAGTTTAGTAGGCTTGGTAATTTCAAGTCAAGGTGGAGATTTGTTAGATTTGGCTTGAAATTAAGTTGGCAAGTTGGAAATTTCATCTTGGTTGGTGGCCAAACTTTGAACATGGGAATTTAATATTTGGTGGCTAACTTATATACATTGGAAAATTCTTTGGTAGGTGGCCAAACTTTGAACATGAGAATTCCATATTTGATCCCTAAAATATTAAGGTTATTTATAAGTTTAGTCCTTAAAACTCAACTATAAATAGGCCTAAGTATTTCCATTAGAAATCATCTCAAAACAAGTTCTCTCTTCCTCTTGTTTTCTTCATTCTCTCACTTTGAGAATTCTAAAGAATTTCATTTATTGTAATATTTGTTGCTAGTGAAGTTATCATCCGGTGTGGTGCCCGAGGAGTAGACGATATTCTCGTCGAACCTCGTAAATTTGGTATGTTCTTTCCTTTATTGTTTTTTATTCGGTCTTTCCATTATGTTACAATATTCAATAGTTTGATAGGTTTATCTGCTGTGCAACCTTTGTTGGTTTTGATCTTGACATTTTAGGTCAATTTTGAAACTACGTTCGTGTGGGAAATAACCCGATTTCCCCAACATTGGATACAAATTTAGTGAGAATTAAAGGGTTGTTTTCGAAACCCAGTTTGAGAATTTGTGTGTGGATCTGGAGGAGGTTTGAGAAGGTGTTGCAAGATTGGATAAGGTTGAGAACGCCACGTTCCGACGCAGCTCTTTGACTGCAGCTTATGGTGGCGGATGCTGTGATCGTAGAAAATAATTAAAAAAGCTTGGTTTTTGGGATAGAAGTTTGCATGTAGAGACCACGGGAGTAAACTCATCGCTAGCTTTTGCAGTTCATCAAAAACCAATCTTTACTTGAGGAACTTGTGGGGAAGGAAAAGTTTGAGTTTTAAAATATGGATTATTATAATATAAATCGGATTTTAATGTTATTATATATTCCAAAATTTATATAGTCAAAATGTGTAAAATCAAAACTTAAATTTAATTGGTCGCAATTTCTTCTTCATAACACGTTTTTTTAATAAAAATTCTACACGTAATTTGAAAACCATACGTGTGTTACTAATTTTTAAATGTATATATTTTTACTTCACGGTAATGAAAAAGGACAGTTGGGACATGTTGCATATGCAAAATGAGCCAAATTCAAGTGTCCCGTTTTAGCAAGTCAGTCGTCCATGATAAGCTTACCATGTTAGAAAAAAAAACCCATTAGTTTCTAGAACCAAATAGCTGCTATGTAGCAATTGAATTCTCAGCCTATAATAACTTAACATGTATATTCTTATTTTGAGTGCAAGTTATCTGCAACGCGAGGCGTGTTTGTAGATGACCAAAGTTTAAATCTCTTAACAATTTAGCCTCCAATCTGATTATAAAAGCTCTTACTGTGTTGGATGTAGTTTTTGTGTAAGTGCGAGAGACCAGAGATATGGAGTTTGCTATCAAGGAGTCGAGCATCGTGTATCCAGCGGAGGAGACACCTAAGCATCGGTTATGGAGCTCAAACTTAGAACTACTAATGACACTGCATCATGTCCCTATTGTTTACTTCTTCAGACCGATTGGTTCTTCCGATTTTTTCGACACTCGTCTGCTCAAGGAATCTTTAAGCAAGGTTCTTGTCCCATTCTACCCAATGGCTGGGAGATTGGGGAGAGACGAAAATGGAAGAATTGAGATAGTCTGCAATGGAGAAGGAGCTTTATTCATAGAGGCTGAAACTGAGTACGTTATCGACGATTTGATTGGCGACACCATGAATCATAGCCCAGACCTTTGGCGATTAGTTCCAAAAGTTGATTATTCTGTTGATATTTCATCATATCCTCTGATTTTAACACAGGTACACATACATATATGCACGAAATTAATTGATTTTGAAAAGTTTCTAATGTTTGTATTAATGTTGTTAGGTAACAAGGTTCAAGTGTGGAGGAGTTGGTCTTGGGATCGGATTACAGCATACTTTAGCAGATGGTCCAGCTTCGATTCATTTCATTAACAGTTGGGCTGAAATGGCTCGAGGGCTGCCTCTTAGTGTTCAACCTTACATTGACAGGTCACTTCTTCAAGCTCGTGTTCCACCGACTCCGACTTTTCACCATGTCGAATATGACCCACCTCTTTCCATAAATACTGCTGAAGAACCCCAATGGGAACCTGAAACTACCGTCTCCATCTTCAAACTCACTCCTGATCAGCTCAACACCTTGAAAACCAACGCGAACAGAAACGGAGATGGTGGTGTTTATAGCACCTACAACAGCCTTGCAGCACATATATGGCGTTGCATAAATAAGGCCCGATGCCTCCCCGATGATCAGGCGACTAAGCTGCATATTCCGATTGATGGACGGTCTAGATTGAGACCTCTCCCGCCAGGCTATCTTGGCAATGTGATATTTATGTCTGCAACCATAGCATCGCACGGTGAGATCCAATCTGAGTCATTTTCGTGCACCGCGAAGAGAATCAAGGACATATTGAAGCGAATGGATGATGAATATCTAAGGTCAGCTATCGATTACATGGAAAAAGTGCCTAATGTGAAGGCTCCCGTGCGAGGAGCAAGGGGTTTTCAGTGCCCGAACCTCAGTATCAACAGTTGGATGTGGTTGCCTCTCTATGATGCAGATTTTGGATGGGGCCGTCCCATATGGTTAGGACCGGCTAAAGTGTCCCAAGACGGGAAGACATACATTTTACCAAGTCCGACTAACGATGGGAGCCTGTCTGTTGTGTCATGCCTGGACACTTCTCACATGAAAAATTTTGGGCAGCTTCTTTACGAGATTTAGGGAAATTATATGTTCATGTCAATTGATTTCGTGTTGTTGCAGTTTCTCTTTTGCTTCTTTTGCATTTGTCTGCATTTTTATTTGAGTATTCTCTCGCATATTCAAGATTCATAAGTAACTAAACTTTATACGTAAAGCCACCTTTCATTGTTACCCAAGAGAGAGTATATTGAATCAGTCAATGCGATGGTTGAAACTGGAGCACCATCTGCCGCCAAGCAACATCATTCTGAGGAAAAAGTCAATCCACCAATAGCTATGGATAATTCCATTTAAATCACATTATTGGTTTTTCCCCTCTTCAGGCATATCTTCGATTACATTTTCTTCTTTATCTTCTGCTGCTGTTATACACTCCTGGAATCTGAAACAGCTCGTGAGATGGTCGTTAGTTATTCCCGCCACTTGCATGAAAGAGTAGACAACAGTAGGCCCTACGCTTCGGAAACCTCTTCCTACCAGATCTTTGCTTATGACATCTGCTTTGGGGGTTTTAACCGGAACCTGGCGAGGATATCTGAATCTGCTAACTATAGGCTTGTGATTCACAAAACTCCAAATATACCAGTCAAATGACCCGAACTCATCTATAACATGGCATCATCAAAACGTACAAAAGGTTAGTTGCACTAATGAAAACTAATAACTTCAGTAACAAGAGCTAGTGGACGACACCGGAAAGTATATAAAGATATGAATTACTTGGGCATACCAACTAAGCAAACTGGCATCTAATGGATGTGAATAATTTAATTTTCCTAACCAAATTGCAAATTTGTATCCTTGTGGCTTGTCCCATATGATTCAAACATATGCCTGGAAGGTTTAGGACAGCTATTCACCTGTTTTTACCTAACCTAATCACACAAGTGATCACTAAGCACCTTTTCTATTTGTTTAATTACTTGCTAGAACAAGAGAGAATAATGTGAGTGGTCCTGCTACCGAGTGTATCGGTCATTCGATGAATTTTGCACCAGGAAATATACGTGTAAAATAAACCCAGAAGTAAAGCAGATGGTCTGAAGTGTGTTATATCTTGCAAGATAACATCAAATTATGTCTTCAGCTATTAATGAACTTCAATAGAGCAAATTTTGTCATGTTCCATCCAGCATACGGCACCGTAATTAGTTTATTCTGCTTACGAGTGATTCACGGAACACTACCTTTCATGGTAACCAAGGTAAAGAAAATGGTGAACAGAAGAATGAGACAATCTACCTTAGATATTTGTCTAGCGTTCTCGATAATAGCTCGCAGCTTCAATTCTGATAACAAAGAACTTGCTACGCTACCATGTGCTATTAACTTCTTCTCATTCAGTTTTTATACAGCAAGAGGATCAAAATCCATAAAAACTTCTCTGAATAGAAGACACACTTTAGAAACAAGTCTGCTTATTAAACGAAGTTAATGGAAATTAAAGGAACAATACGTAAATATGTGCATTTTACTTAAGATAGCAGACCATGTAAGTTCAGAAAATGCACCAGAAAGAGCAGCTCAAACAATTTCCTGCATGTGGAAAATAACATCAAACAAACTACTTATCAAACAGAATTTTATTACCAAAGAGGCAGCCCTTTTAATAAGCAACCAGATGGGAGACACGGAAATGTTGAGATCACTTACTTGTCATCATGTACAGGAACTCCCCACTCTTCATCATGGAAAGCAACATGAACTGGATCTGATGCCAACAAACAAAAATAAGTTGGAAGAAAACATGCGATCAGAGCAATCAAAGGACCAAGGCAGCCAAAGTGGAACGCCTTCCCCCATTAAACGGATTAAAACGCCCTCCGCAAATTAGGGATGACTTGAAGAAGTTCCCCTAAGAGATTGAAATAGTCTGATAGAGAATCTCTAACTTTGAATAGAATGCCTAACCCTCCTAAAGTGCAACTAATTCGCATTAATGCTATTACTACTGTATGATGGATTTGGTGATAACTAAGCAAAAATGAAAAATATGAAGCAAATGGATAGTACAAGATTGCTGTTTTACTTTTGAATAAGTTAAAATTTTGAGATGCCACCTATGGTTTTTTTGTGTAGATGCTGAATGTTCGTTCTGCACTATAACTATATTAATCGAACCTAATCTAATACAGCAGTTCTGGGATTGGAGAATTAGAAAAGCATAAAGTACAAAAAGAATTGCTTTGTTCTTAGAGCAGAACCAAATAATTATATCCTATTCCTAATGCCGATGGCCGTGGCCACCCTAAATAATTCTTTTGGTTAAGACATTCAGAAGGTATATGCAGGGGAATTAGCTCAAACCTAAGACAAAGGTTATGCAGCTATTACTACATTTGAAAGCAGTCTTACGAGGAAGATGTTAACGCATGATTTCCAATCAACCATGATAAAACACTAAGAAATTAGAGGACACAACAACACACCTGTATTTGGTGTCACCCATGCACATCTCTTCTTCTGATGCAAACCATCAGAAACAACACTTCTTGGCTTTAACGTGTATGTCTTCCTATTACTTCCTACACTATTTGAACGAGTTAAACTACCAGTCGATGCTCGAAAGTGAAATGAAGCTGTGGAAGCATCCGATGAACATGAAGCATTTACTGATAAATTAGAATGTAAAAACTGCTCATGGCGGCGTAGCACTGAAGGAGCACTAACAGAATGAGTTTTTGGAGAAAGAGAATTAACAGTAGATGATGGAAGGGGTTTTTTCTCCACTACTACAGTCGCCTCAACCGGAGACTTTTCAACCTTTTTCAAAGGCTTTGAAGCTGGTTTTCTTGAACTTAAAGAACCTGCCTTATTTCCCGCAGGTCCCAATACAGGCCTTGCCTCAGAATCGACCACATTTCTCGATCTCAATCTTGGAGCACCAGACATTGATTAAGAAATCTATCAATTTAACACTAATTATCAAGGGATCTCAGCTTCTTCTTTATTAACCACAAACAAATCCTAATTCCTCACTTGCAGGGTAAGTCAAAATCCCCAAATCTTCATATACAATCCCTAACCCTTCCTCTTCGATCCCCAATTCTTTCCGTCTTCTCCGATTTATGTATCTCTCATGAACATGACATGTGCCCACAATAATGGTATTTGTTCCAAGTTTAGCAGCTCGGCCAAAAGGAAAAGGAAAAAAATACAAGGTAAACTGTAAATGAAATTGACTTGGATTTCATGTGATATCCTTTGGCTTTTGCTTACTTTTACTTTCAAAGTTGAGATTTCATTCCATTTTAACAATGAAATAAAGTGGTTATTAACTGTGAACTTTGAAAAGAATTAAAATCTTTGCAATCACCAGTTACCGTATTGGGTCCACCATTTCCTTGATAAGTATGCTATTATTAACCTATGCTTAAATCCAGTTTTAAAGCTTGAAGGGGGATGTGTTTTGACCCGTGCACAATATGCCCAAATGACCATATTTCATCTAAGCAAGATAAGAAAACAAGTAGGCATTTGGGTGAGTAATCTTCCCTTTTATCTAATCAGTTCAACTTTGGTGTTGATATAAACAGAGAAACATGGGGAAAGAAATCAAGTTTCCTTACCTAACACTTTCTATTAGATTTATAGCATAATTTACATGGGGTAGGTTGTGGGCCTTTGACCTGGTGTGGGAATATGATTGTTTTAGAGCTATTCGATTGTCAAACAAAGTTATTGGCTCAAGCGCAAAGTGTCTTGGAACCTTGAGACGCATGAAAGGCGCGAGATTCACGAAGGCGAGGCACATGATATCCAAAAACACATATGCACAAATTGCAGTGATTATCAAGAGAATTTGATTTAAAAGAACAAAATTCTTTTAACACATATGGTTAACAGTATAAATCAAAGGATCAATCGAAAAACAGAATCACTTAAGGGAAGAAATAAATGTGTGAATCAATTAATCGAATGGTTACTGCTGTCTTGTTCAACGTCGCAGTTTAAAAATTTCTCTTATTTTCACCTGTGAAATATTGTTTTCTTTTTTGTTAAAATTAGCAAACCATCAAACACAGTTTAAAATAAATAAATAAATAAAATTAGCAAACATTTTTTAGGATAGAAGATTAAATATGGTTTTCAGAATCAGATCGGTTAGCGAATTGGTCATACTACCGGTTCACTGGTTCAACCGGTCGAACCGGTCCGACTGGTCGAAAGAACCGGACGACGTCATAATTATTTAAAAAATTAAATAAAAATACCAAAAATATTTAATAAAAAATACATTTTTATATCACAAGTCATATTCAAAGCAAGTCATAACATATATAAGTTAAAAACCATAAAATCAAGTGAAACAAAATGATTCAAATTAACTACAGCATAATATTTAAGGTAAAACATATTAAATAATAAATATAATTATATAACTATAATTAAAAAATAAATTTGGGGTTAAAAAAATCATAACAAAATTATATAACTATAATTATATAACTATTCTTTCACTTCAATCAAGCTCGAATTTTAGGCTTCAATCGAGCTTCTAATTTTTTTTTGAGTTCAAATATTTTTGAGTTCAAGTTTCAATATTATATTTCGAGTTTGAGTTGAACTTATAATTTTTAGCTTGTGAGTTTGAGTTGAGTTGAGCTTACTTTTAAAGTTTTCAAGTTCGAGTCGAGCTCAGCAATACTCGAGTTCGACTTGGCTCGTTTAACAAACGACGTTGTTTGTTTTAATTTTTTTTTAAAAAACAAACAAAAATCTCGGTTTTTCCCAGTTTTTTCCGGTTTTCAGCCGGTCCGGTTTGAACGGTTTTGACCGGTTCACTAATAACGTTCAACCGGTTTAGATTAAACCGGACTAAACAACGGTTTTCGATTGAACCGGTTGGACCGACCGGTCCGATTTTCAAAACAGAGAGATTAAACAATGAAAATATTAACAAAATTAAAGAATTAGAGCGTTGAATTTTTTTTCTCATCGATGAAAATATATTTTAATGGACAAAAGAGATCCTTTAAGCCTGTTTATTATTATTATTATTATATCAAAATTTATTAAATCAAATTCATGCACTTTTTTGTATTTAATTGAAAATATGTAGTAAATATGAAAAATTATATG